AGAAAAAAATTATATCTCTTTCTCTATTTGCAAAATATAAAAAATTTTTTAAAAATCATATTTTCATAATATTTTTTTTTATATTTTGCAAATTAATAATTTTTCGAATATGTATGCATAATATTTTTTGATAGTAAATGATAAAATGATTGAATTCATATAAAAAAATTTAAGTTTCTATTTAAAGGATTATTGCAAAAGCATTATACAAGAAAAATGTATTTAGAAAAATATAATAAAGATGTAATTCTATTTCTTAAATATATTTTTTAACCAGAAGATATGATTTGCTCCAATTGCGTGAATTATTCTGTAAATTGATCCAATTAATATAAGAAGATCCAATAAATGGAACCAATTAAATCGTGATATTCGGAATGTAGCCATACTTCGAAGTTATGAAATATTTTAAATTTTAGATTACAAAAACTATTTGTGAATTGATATATTATATTTTACAGCAATTCAATTTTATAATATTTTATCTAATAGCTATTTTATTTTATCTACATGTTATTGGATAATAGCAATAATAATAATTATTAAAAATTAAAAAATATATTTTTAAAAGAGACAATGCAGTACCAAATTGATATTGTATAATCTTCATATATAATCATGAATTAAAAATTTTTATATTTCATTGATTAATAAATAATAAAATAATTTTCTGTCAATCTTTAGTTTATTTTAGCATTTATTTTGAAAATTTAAGGCATTATCATATCACGATTTCATATATTATAATTGTATTGAATAGTTTTTGATTAAATTTTTTAATTTTTACCTGATATTATATAATATCAAACATAATGAGATTGTAGCTAAAAGCTTACAATAAAACATATGTATCTTCATTTTTTTTTTCTAAATAAATACAAATATTATTTTTATTTTTAAAATAAAAATTGCAATAATAAAGAAGAATAAAAATTGCACATACCTATTACTTTTTGGATTAATAAATTTAACTTTATATTCGAATGTACTATTATGATCAAATAGTCATAGTATATTCAACTTTTTATCTCAATGTAAATATATCACTTATCTTTACAGGGCGTATGGCATATACCAAACAGAGAAGTTGATAGACCGGGAAGTTTCGCTTTTCATATGTCTCGTTGCGTAACTTTATTAATGCAAGTACTTAAAGAACGAATGATGGTCGAATGTTAATGCAATTAAGTGTGCAACTTGGAAAAATACCAGAATCAGACAAGTACAGTTTAAATAAAAAATATTTTATTTTCTATTATTATCTTTTTTTTTATTAAAATTTATATTAATACAATGATTTGATACTTCAAAATATAAAAAATATTTATTTAAAAAAGAATAAATAGTTATTAAAATTATATGCTATTTTTTTTAGAAAATATTTACGTGATTCAGAAAGAGAGCAGTTATCTTGTCAAGCATTGACTCTGTGTTTACAATCTCTTAGAACTAAGGTACAATTAATGGGAACAAGTACTTCTGATCTTGCAATTAATAAAAATGCAGATGCTAGAACTCAAGTACTTCTTGATACATATTGGGTATATCAGAGAGCTTTAAAAAGTTTTCAAACTAAAGAACAAACTATACAAGTACTTGCTTCTTTATTAGTAGATACATATAAAACATATATCGGTAATAAAGTAAGTTAATTTTTCGAATAAAATATTTTGAGAATATCTCATAAATACTTTTAATTACTTAATTATTTTTAAAATTTTTTTTTTTGATAGAATTTGGAGGGAAATGTTTTAGAAATTGCTACAAAATATTGTAATGATTATAATTATAATCGAAAAGTTTTAAGCAAGTTTTTCTCCAGTCTTGATAAACCTACAGAGAATCAAACACAGGCTCAAGCTACATCTCCAATTCCTGTAAGTTTTATAATCTTATTATTCAAAATCACTTGTGCTTCCTATATTAATACAAATTTCATTTTCAATGTTTGTATACTACATCCCAATTAGGTAACTACATCCCAATCACAAGTTACTTCTACATCACCGCAATCTTCTCAAAACCGAAAACCATACAGAAATCTAACATCCACTGGTCGACCAAGAGGACGTCCACCCAACGTGAATAAATATCTACAAGCAATGCAAAGTAGTAATGCAATGAATCAGTTCAGCGCGAAAGCTACTTTCGCTAATTATATGGGAGCATCGGGAAATCGATCATTAATGAATCCTTATTTTATGCATCCATTAGTTGATCCAAATATATTATCCGCTTTATTAACAAGTGGATTAAGCAATAGTATGATGGATCCTTTATCAGCTATGAATTATTTAAATCAAATGGGTAATTATCAAGATATTTTAAGACAATATCAAAATAATCTTTCTTCTTTATCAAGTTTAGCCAGTGGATTAAACAGTACCATTGTTACTGCATCCAACATTAGCAGTGTACCTACAATGAGTACATCCACTTCTAATATGAATACTGCTTCCAATATGAGCAATTTAAGTAATTTAAATAATTTAACAGTACAACAGTTATTAAATTTAAGTAATGCTTCAGCAACAACTTCACGTTCCACACCCATGTATCAACAAGCAGTTACAACAAAAACTACTACCACTGCATCTATAACTAAAGACAGACCTAGTATATCAATAACTCCAGTAAATACAGTACTACCCAAAAGTAAATCATCAAAACAAAGTCCACAAAGTGAATCTGTAGCAGTCCAACTTCCAAAATCTTTACAAATATCACAACCGTCAAAAACTATCTTACAACCACCAACTACACAAGTTTCTTTGCTAAAGCCATCTATTGTTCACACACAAGTTAAAACTAGTCCACCAAAACAAATAAGCGCACCTCAAATTCGAGTATCAAAATCATTGACTGAACCTCAGCCAGCACACAATCCATCTTTGTCACATTCTCCTTTAAAAAATAATGCGACAACAAATCCACCTACAGTTCCTCAAGTTGCACATGCAGCATTGAGTCCATCAATAACTATGAAACAAACATTACCTATAAACGTACCTACTTCTCATTCAGGAACATCATTACAACATAAATTATTATCAAAGAAAAATTCACAAAGATCGTATTCACAAACAAATGTGCAAAATTTAGTTAGAAAAGCAAAACCAGTTAAAACAATGTCCGCAATGCCGAATAATTTATCGAATATATTGAATGCAATGCCTGGGAACTCGTCAATGGCACCATATATACCACCAGAATTAAGTGGAATTTCCGTAAGTCCGGTAAATCCTTCTGGTTTAAAAAGTCCAAGTACAAAATATTCACAATATAAAAAATCATCTACAAAAGCGAAACCAGCAATGGATATCTCCAATTCTTTATCAAATTCATATTCTCAAGGAAATTCTGTTGAAGCTTTTTCGATGCTTTCCCAATTAAAGCAGCATTCGCATTTAGAGATCATACCTCAGCAAAAGTCTCAGCAAATGAAGTCAACTCTAGAATACACAAAAAATTTGTCTTCGGGTGTGAGTGTAGTTTCACAAAAAGTATCAGAATCTCTGAGGCCATCAGACTGTAGCAAAACTATGTATGATTTACCGAGAGGGAAATCGAGTAGTATTTCTAGCAAAAAAGGAGAAAAAACTAACGATAGCGTTGAAATTATAACATTAGACGATTGAATATCCAATTTACAAGAATATTAGTATTTCATCCCTTGTTTCTTAATTTTTACATCTCATTTTTTGACTTTTATTCATTAATGTATTGTTCATGCTGAATGCAATTGTCATCCATAATTTGAAATGCTTATAATGTGTAAATTATAAGATAAAATAGTTATACAAATAATATTTTTTAACATTTTTGCAGTCTATAGTTTCGTTTTAATCAAGAACGACTGAAATAGTTCGCTAGCCTTCTCACTTCTGTGCCTAATGGAATCATTCTATATATGAACATTTAATTATCACACATAAAAAATAGATAATAATAAATGTATTCTAAACTATGAAAATAATTAAAATGAAATTCTTACGTAAAATATACATATATTCAAGAAATTATATTCCAGGAAAAAAGTAGTGAAAATTTAACTTTTCACAAGTTAGGATGACAAGCCTCAGGATGACAATGCTTGAATATCACTACTTTTTACGAAGTAGTACTTCTAATAATCGTAACAATAATGTAATCGCGAATATAATTTCACAATAATTCCAAGGAAACATTTTTGCATATTAATAAAATGATACAATTATTTTTCTACTGTGTACATTCAGCAACCATACAATTTTTTTTGTATGTAAAAAAGAGAATAGGCAAATGTAATTAGATATTAGTAACATGTGTACATTTTCAATGAATAATTTATAAAAAATGTTTTCTCGTTAAAAAAAAAGGATATATATATATATATATATATATATATTTATATATGTATATTATATATGTATATATATATATATATATATATATATATATTATT